AAAAAAAAAAAAAAAAGCATAATCAGGTGTGAGTCTCTTAAGTAAATGGTGCTGAGAAAACTAGACAGCTACATGCAAAGGAATGAAACTGGACTACCCTCTTACCCCATACACAAAAATAAACTCAAAATGGATTAAAGAATTAAATGTGAGACCCAAAACCATAAAACACCTGTAAGAAAGCACAGGCAGTAATCTCTTGGGCACTGGCCATAGCAACATTTTTCTGGATATGTCTCCTCAGGCAAGGAAAACAAAAGAAAAATAAATGAAAGCTTTTGCACAGCGAAGGAAACCACCAACAAAACAAAAAGGCAACCTTCTGAATGGGAAAAGATATTTGATATTTGCAAATGATATATCCAATAAAGAGTTAATATCCAAACTAGAATACTTACACAACTCAACACCAAAAAAAAAAAAAAAAAAAAAAAAAAACTGCCCGATTAAAAAGTGGGCAGAGGACCTGCATAGACATTTTTTCAAAGAAGACCTACAGATGGCCAAAAGATACATGAAGGCACGCTGCACATCACTCTCATCAGGTAAATGCACATAAAAACTACAATGAGATACCACCTCACACCTGTCAGAATGGCTAGTATCAAAAAGACAAGAAATGACAAGTGTTGGGGAGGGTGTGGAAATAAAAGGAACGGTTGTGCATTGTTGGTGGCAATGTAAATCTGTGTAGCCACTGTGGAAACAGTGTGGAAGTCTCTCAAAAAATAAAATACAGAAATGCAATCCAGTAATTCCACTACTGGGTAATTACTCAAAGAAGATGGAAACACTAATTCAAAAAGATATATGCACCCCTATGTTTACTGTACTGTTATATACAACAGGCAAGATACAGAAGTAGCCTAAGTGTGTATATACATGTATACACCTACATATACATTATGGAATATTACTTGGCCATAAAAAACTATGACATCTTGCCGCTTGCAGCAACAGAGATGGACCTACAGGGTATTACACTAAGTGAAATAAAGATACCATATTTTTCACTTACATGTGGAATCTAAAAAACAAAACGGGGGTGCCTCTCTGCCTCAGTCACTAGAGCATGCATGTCTTGATCCTGGGAACATGAGTTCACGCTCCACGTTGGGCATAGAAACCACTTTAAAAAAATAGGGGTGCCTGGGTGGCTCAGTCGGTTAAGCATCCAGCTTTTGCTCAGGTCATGATCTCATGGTTTGTGAGTTCAAGCCCCACATTGGGCTCTCTGCTGTCAGTGCAGAGCCCGCTTCACTTCCTCTGTCTCCCTCTCTCTCTGCTCCTCCCCTACTCTTGCTTTCTCTCTCAAAAATGAAACTTTAAAAAAAATAAAAATTAATTTAAAAAAAACAAGACAAACTCATAAATGCAGAAAACAAACTAGTGATTGCCAGAAGGGAGGCAATGGGGGTGGGGTGAGTGAAATACGTATCAGGGATTAAGCAGTACAAACTTCCAATGACAAATAAGTCAAAAGGATGGAAAGTATGGCACAGAGAATATAGTCAATAATATTGTAGTGACATTGTATGGTGACATATGGCAACTACATTTATTATAGTGAGCATTGCATAATGTATAGAATTGTCAAATCACTGTGTTGTACACCGGAACTACTTTAGTATGTTAACTGTACATGTCAACTATACTTTAGTGATAAAGTTTTGTTAAATAAAAGAATAATCAAGTATGCAAAAAAGAATGTGACCAATAATCTGGGGGAAAGAAACATTCAATAGAAACACATCCAGAAATGACAGTGATGATAGAATTACTGTAAAAAGGCCTTAAAGCAGCAATTATAAATCATATGAATATATTTAAAGACATTAAGGGAAGAGCACCTGGGTAGCTCAGTCAATTGAGCATCCGACTCTTGATTTCAGCTGGTTGAACATCCGACTCGATTTCGGCTCAATTCATCATCTCACGGTAGTGAGATCAAACCCCATGTTGGGCTCCACACTGGGCATGGATTTTCCCCCTCCCTCTGCCCCTTCCTCACTCAAGCACATGCTCACTCGCTCTCCCTCTCCCTCAGTCTCTCTCTCTCTCTCTCTCAAAAAATAAAAATAATGGGGCGCCTGGGTGGCGCAGTCGGTTAAGCGTCCGACTTCAGCCAGGTCACGATCTCGCGGTCCGTGAGTTCGAGCCCCGCGTCAGGCTCTGGGCTGATGGCTCGGAGCCTGGAGCCTGTTTCCGATTCTGTGTCTCCCTCTCTCTCTGCCCCTCCCCCGTTCATGCTCTGTCTCTGTCTGTCCCATAAATAAATAAAAACGTTGAAAAAATAAATAAATAAATAAATAAATAAATAAATAAATAAAAATAAATACATAAAGGGAAATATGAGAGAAATAGAAAATACATAAAAGACCCAAATAAATGGTCTAGCGATAAAAAATCCCCAAAAAATTATACTAGGTGGGATTAATGGCAAATTAGATACTGCACAAGAAGCTGAATATAAAGATGTAACAATAGAAACTATCCAAAACTAAGCACAAAGAGAAGAAAGACTTAAATTTATAAGTTAAAGAGTGCCTTGTTTATGTATAGGAAATATCAGGCAGCCTGCCAGAACTTTAACTAGAGTTTCAGAAAGAGAAATGGTCAGAGAGCAGATACAAAAAATACCTGAAAAATTCCAAAAATTTTCCAAATTTGATGAAAAAGCTATAAAACCACAAATCAACAATAAATCTCAAATAGAAGAAGCATGGGTACATGGGTGGCTCAGTTGGTTAAACATCCAACTTTGGCCCAGGTCATG